CAGCTTAGGCCAGGCGAGCTATGGGAGAATTTCAGCTTGTATTTCAGAATAAGTTAGTGTCTAGTCTTCGCTGTTGCAAAGATTGAAAATGTTAATCCTTGAGGCTCAAATCCCAGAAGGTGCATGAAAAGATCTCCAAATTATTATAGTCTGTCTCCTCATTTTTACAGCCAGTTGCATGATTTTTGGAGGCCTAACTTGTGGTTGGAGAATGTGGTTTTTATTGCAGAGCAACAAATTGTTTGGAAATGTAAAAGTGAGAATGTCAGATTATTAGGCTGAGCCAGGGATAATTTGAGTAGCAAATGAGGAAGAGTGACAGACAGATAGTAAGAGTGAAACATACCAGATTTCCTGCTCTACAGAGCAGCGATGTAACACCTAGATAGCTGCCAGCATGTGATAGGGAGCATTCTCTCACTAAACAGGTGATTTCTCCATCCTTCAGTCCCTACATTTTGGCCAAGCAGTCAAGGTGCACATCTCTTACATGTTAGGAACATCGCCATCTAGCCCATCCCCCGTGTCTGACCGAGGCCTGCACTACCTGCTTCAGGGGAAGGGCAAGATCTTCTCAGTGGGATAACCTACCCTCTACCTAGCTCTTATCCTGGTCTCTGACAGAGATTGGTGAAGCCCTGCAGTATAAAGCTCAGATCTCATTTATAGCGATAATTCTGGAGATCTTCATATGAACATCCAATCCCTTTGGAATCTCTTCTTAGAAGGGAGTGTAAACAGTTCCCTCAAACAGCCCCCAAGTGACACGGGAATGTCACTCCCCTGTGCCTTATGGCTCCCCTTTGTTTCCCCCCACCCCAAGGCTTTTTTTCTATCTTAGAATCATAGAACCATAGAGCCGGAAGAGACCTCAGAAGGTCATCAAGTCCAGCCCCCTGCTCTAGGCAGGACCAATCCCAACTAAATCAACCCGGCCAGGGCTTTGTCAAGCTGAGACTTAAACACCGCTAGGGATGAAGACTCCACTACTTCCCTAGGTAACCCATTCCAGTGCTTCACCACCCTCCTAGTGAAATAGTATTTCCTAATATCCAACCCGGACCTCTCCCACCCCAACTTGAGGCCATTGCTCCTTGTTCTGCCATCCGTCACTACTGAGAGCAGCCTCTCTCCATCCTCTTTAGAACCTCCCTTCAGGAAGTTGAAGGCTGTTACCAAATCTCCCCTCACTCTTCGCTTATGCAGACAAAACAGACCCAACTCCCTCAGCCTCTCCTCATAGGTCATATGCTCCAGCCCGCTAATCATTTTGGTTGCCCTCCGCTGGACCCTCTCCAATGTGTCCACATCCTTTTTGTAGTGTGTGTGTGGGGGAGGGGGGGGTCCAGAACTGGATACAATACTCCAGATGTGGCCTCATCAGAGCCGAATAAAGGAGAATAATCACATCTCTGGATCTGCTGGCAATGCTCCTCTTAATGTAACCTAATATGCCATTAGCCTTCTTGGCTACAAGGGCACACTGTTGACTCATATCCATCTTCTCATCCACTGTAACCCCCAGGTCCTTTTCTGAGGAACTACTACTTAGCTGGTTGGTCCCCAGCCTGTAACAATGATTGGGATTCTTCCGTCCCAAGTGCAGGACTCTGCACTTGTCCTTGTTGAACCTCATCAGATTTCTTGTGGCCCAACTTGTCTAAGTCACTCTGGACCCTATCTCTGCCTTCAAGCGTATCTACCTCTCCCCCTAGCTTAGTGTCATCTGCAAACTTGCTGAGGATGCAATCCATCCCCTCATTCAGGTCATTAATAAAGATATTGAACAAAACCGGTCCTAGAACCGAACCTTGGGGCACTCCACTAGAAACCAACCGCCATCCTGACATTGAGCCGTTGATCACTACCCGCTGGGCCGGTCTTCTAGCCATCCTTCTATCCATCTTACCGTCCATTTATCCAATCCACATTCCCTTAACTTGCTGGCAAGAATATTGTGGGAGACCATATCAAAAGCCTTGCTAAAGTCAAGGTATATCACATCCACTGACTTTCCCACATCCACAGAGCCAGTTACCTCATCATAGAAGCTAATCAGATTGGTGCTGAGGATTGGGCTGAGGGCAAGGAGATCGCATGAAGCCTCCCCCTCCCTGCAGAGCAGAGAGCAGCAGGGTCTGTGTTAAATGCAACAGCTGTGTGTGTCTAAGGGTCCCAGCAGGGTGGTCCATGGGTCAGATCTGGCCCCTAGGCCATATTTTGCCCAGCTCTGATGTAGACATAGCCTTAGTGTCACAGCCTGGTTTTTCAATTACAGGTAGTCCCCGAGTTACGCGGATCCGACTTATGTCGGATCCGCAGTTACGAACGGGGATTTTCTCGCCCCGGAGGACTCGAGCAGCGGGACGCCTGGTCCCGCCACCCGCCTCCTCCGGGGCGAGAAAAGCTGTTCTCCGTCTCCCTGGTCTGCTGGGGGAGCCAGCGGCGGAGCAAAGCGGCTGAATCTGGATGCCAGTTACGACTTACATACAGATTCAACTTAAGAACAAACCTACAGTCCCTATCTTGTATGTAACCCGGGGACTGCCTGTAGTTATAATATTTAGAATTTGACATTTAGTTACTGTGACTACCCTACAGATCAACTGGCTGCCTGTTCATTTTAACAATTACTGTAGCGCTGTTGCAGAAAAAAGAGATCCAAAGGAAAACAAGAGCACATTCTGAAATTAAAAAATGGTAACAAATTAAGATAAATAATTCAGCATAATTCATTGTGCTTTCTCCAGATGAAATTTATATCACAACTCAGTCACTTCTTAACCTTACCTTCATGTTACCTTCTGCTGAGCCTGTTACAAAGTATTCTTCAGAAGGGTCTAGTGAAAGAGCCTTAATACTAGAGTCATGTGCTTGGAAGGTATGAAGGATTTGTCTCTGTCTGATGTCAAAGATGTAGACACATCCTTTTCTGCCTCCAGAAATCAACAGTTGTTGCTTAGGTGCATACTGAAGTACTGTGGCACCATGGTCATGACAAGGGAAGGCTAAGAGACACACAGTAAGATTGTTACAGATTTGCAGTTTTGTATAGATTTCAACTTTAAACTACAGTTCTACTCGGAAAGGTGATTGGCACTATTTTTTACTCAATAGATACACTTTTTGAATGTATACAGTCATATCTGCTACATTAATGACAAACTGATTCACAGTTATCCACATCTGCAGAGTTTTCGTTAATAACAAGTCTGCAGGTAGATATAAAGCAAATATCCATGAATTTGCAGGGCTTTATAAACTTTTTCCTCTCCAAATTCACACACAAATCCCATTTGATTCTAGCCATTAAAAATGTTAAATACTTATTCCATAGCATGCCTATGTCACAGCAATATTACTATAAGCCTTTCACTAATATTTGAGAGGTCTGCTACAAGTCACTCGTTATGACAGTCACCGTAGCTTTTTATTTACTACAAACAAATAAAAGCCATACCATAAAGAGAAGTTGATTCTGTGCTTTAGGCCCACACAACCAGCAAGAACTTACTTTCCCATGTGTTATATCTTCGAAAGATTACATGAAGAGCAGGTTTTCCTCTAGGCTCCTTCCACTGCCTTCCCAGGATCAGGCATGAACAAGGCCTGCTGTGGTGCCTCAGAGAGAAAGGGCAGCCCAGAATAAGATGTCTCAGTCCCAGAAACTACTGTACTCCAAAAAGTTCAGCAGTAGGGCCAGCCAAATTAAAGGCCAACTGTATATCAGTTAGAATTAACAGTCCTTTAAATCACTCCATGAAGAAGGCCTGTCCAGCCTGCCTGAAGCTATTGAGACAAATTGAAATGGCAGGCTCTTCAGTAGGTGGAGTTCATCTCCAAGCCCTCAGTAAAGGTCAGAATGGTGCCTCTAAACTGTCTGATGACCCATGGTAAAATCTGTGGACACTACTGTGCAGGAGAAAGCCCTCAGAAATAAGCTAGGCATCCTTTACGTATCTTATAAGAATTTATAAAAATATTAAGTGTAGAAACAAATCCATGTTCTTGGTGCAGAAGGTTTTCACCTAAGTATGTTTAACACGGCATACAGACAGCTCATCACCATCTCATCTCTGCTTCCTCCTTTACTCCTTCTTTATCTAAAACTTGAGGGAGGAAGGGAGCAAGGATTTCTTAGTACTACAGCACTGGACAAGGGAGCAGGATACCTGGACTCTACTCCCTGGTCTGTCACAGCATTACTGATTCACTTGCTTAGATAAATAATGGCTACCTAACTCACTGTAGCCTTGTGCTACACTTAACACAATGGGGCCTTGATCCATGACTAGAGCCCAAAGGCACTATTATACTACAAATAAATAACTGTAGATGCTGCACGGATTAATTCATAAATTCAAATAATAATGAATTCAAACCATTTCAATAATCTCAAATAAAAGAAGCCATAGAAAAATAAAATGTCTTTAAAGAGCAAATAGGGAAAAAAATGTGGCATGTGAAATGAGGAGAAAGTATGACTTGAGTTTCCAAGTACAATAGACTTCCGATAATCCGGCATCTTTGAGACATAGGTGGTGCCGGATTATCGAATATGCTGGAGTATCAGGAGGTACTGCATACTCCCAACCCAATCCCCCTCCCTTCCCCAAACTTATGCTCAGGTCCCAGAGCTTGGGTACAGACGCGTGTCTCCCTCCAGGCACTGAGGCACGTGCGCTGAGCGGCCGGCTTTCAATGAGCTGGCCAGAACTCCATGCGTAACGCAATCCCCCTCCCCTTCCCCAGAGCCAAACACCTCCCCTCCCTGCTGTAATCCAATACCACTCCCACCCCAACCTTATGCTCGGGTCTCGGTGCAGCTAAACGTCTCCCTCCAGGCACTGGGGCACATGCGCTGAGCGGACGGCTTTTCAATAAGCTGGCGGGGACGCCATGCACAACCCAATCCCCCTCCACTCCCCTTCCCCAGAGCCAAACACCTCCCCTCCCTGATGTAACCCAAGTGAGAGCGGCTGGCCTGAGCAGTTCCGGGTTCTGTCCTGGTTCCATCAGGAGCACTTGCCATTTTGGTGCCGGACAATTGGGTGCCGGACTATTGGAGTTTTACTGTACCTTGATCAGATCAGATCAAATCAAGTTATTTTCAGGGGGGAAAAATACCAACAAAACCATAGTATAAAAAAAACTAGGCATAATGAAAGTTAATTTAATTGTATTCATTATTAACCCTTAATTTAAAAAAAGTACTCTGCAACAAAATATTTTTAAAGAAATCGAAAAAAGTATGTGAATCACTGCATTTGCTATATGTTAGCATTACATATCTACAATACTTTCCAATATCTGCACAAAGACACAGTGGCAACTAAATTTTTAATCAACAACAAAATTATATGTTAGAGTTGTTTTTAACCTTGAAAACATTTAAGTGAGTGAGGTGACCTGTTGGTAATGCACATTAGAAACTTCTGAAGACAAATAATCCATAGTAAACATTTCAAAGTGAGCTGGTCTGTGTCATTCAAATACTTTCTGTTGTTGCAGAATGACTAAAATGTTTTGGCAGCAACCGCAGATGCAAAGAAGACGTATTTTGTCTGGGTGGCATTCGGTATCTCACCTTTTTCCAGAATTTTGTATTTGCTGAAACAGATGGTTCTGTGAAGTCCCCTTTCCATCTGATGGCCCCATGCTTTTGCCGAATATATCTGATGGATTCTGGTAAGTTCGTGTAGTTCTGTATTTTATCCAGTTCAATCAGAATAACTTTTACTTCATCCCGGATAAGAGCATTATACAGCACTAGTTGCTGTTCAAAGGTATCTTCTATCACATTGTAACTGGCTACTTCTGATTCTAAAATGATTATCACTCTTCTGCTTTGTTTGATCGTTTCATCAATAACATTGGCCACAGCTGTAAGTAATGCAAAAATCATCAAAGTAGGTGTAGAAAAGTTTCAACCTATAAAACGTCTCTCATTATTTTCACACTACGTATTTATGGGGCAGTGACTGGCTCAGGTATATAATAAGAGTATAGAACCTTTCAACAATAGATTGTTAGTTCAAATCCAGCTCCCTTAAGCAATGATCAAAGGGGGTTTGAGGGCTGGTCAGTAGGCCTGCCGGGGGGGGGGGGGGGGGGGGGGTGGGAGGGGGGGGGAGAAGTTGCCCCGGGACATGGTGAGTCAAAGGGGCCTGAGACTCCTGACCACTGCTGCTACTGCGGCAGACATGGTGACCAGAGCCATGGGCCCTTTAAATCACCACCAGAGTGCAGCTCTGAGGGCAGAAGGAGGTGCAGTGCATTTCAGGAGGCATGGAGAACTGGCTGCCCCTGCCCTCAACCCTTCCCCTCATGGCCCCACCCCCTTTGAGAGTGCAAAGACGGGCCTCCCCCACAATCTTGCCCATGGGCCCAGCAGACTGTCCTCTGCTTGTCAGTGACCTGTGTGAAATGCGTTTGTAATTTAGGTCCCACTCACCCAAGGGTAAAATAAATATGGCCTATGGGCTGGATTTGGCCCACAAAGCTGCCAGATCCGGCCCATACCAGCCTCAGCCAGGATCCCTGCCTGCACTGCTCCCATAGGTGGCTCAAAGCAGCTCTCTGCACATTGCAAGCCCAGGAGAAAGGGGGGAGAGGCTTTGTGCACTTCCACAGCACCATCTCACAGCTCCCATTGGCCTGTTTCCAGCAATGGGAGCTACCTATTTTCAGGAAAGACACCGTAATCCCCTATTTTAATCCCAAAATCCCTTCTGCACTCAAACTCTATCACAGACCTAGCAACTTTTCAATTAATATCATGGAAGAGTGTGGCCCTTGACCACTTACCAAATTATTGGAGTGCGACCTGCCCCCCCCCATCAAAAATTATTGCCCACCCCTGCACTGAACAGACATCTATACCACAACCCGCAATGATGGCAAAAAAGAAGGCACTGATTCCTGATGTATAGAGCACTTGATTGGGAATCAGGATATGCGAGTTCTACTTCCATCTTAACCACTGGCCTACTGGTTGATCTTAGGCAACTCACTGCACCACTCAGAGCCTCAGTTTCTCCATCTGTAAAATGGGAATCATTCTTCTTACTTGCTTTGTAAAGCTCCTTGAAATCTACTAATGAAAAGCTCCACATAAAAGCACCAATAATGACTGGTGTCCTTGTTCTTCTCACTTGATGTATTTTAAAAATTAAATGATGGCCATTTTGTATTTCTGTCTCAGAAGAAGAAATTCTTTGTAAGGAACAGTTGCTCTGAGTGCCTTACACCTTTAGCAATCAGCAATGGTATGGTCAATTCAACTAAACTAGATTTATACAATTAAAAATCTTTTAATTTGCTTTTTTCCCCCCAATCACCAGCACATTCAACACATCTTAAAACAACATGCCAAAAGGAAACATGGCAAGGGCAACTTTAATTTTTAACATACCTTCCCCTGGTAAATCATCCCTTCCAAGTATAAAAAGATTATATCCACACTGTCTCTCTAAGATCTCAGGCAGTATTCTCAGAACAAAGTTGTCCAAGGCGTAGATGCCTCTCACCCCACTGGCTATTGGGTACATGACGTAGGCATCAAAGATCTTCCCATCTGAAGTTATAAAGAAAGAGCAAGGGACTTCTTAAAAAAAATCCCTACCTTTATTACAATTTGTAGTTGTTTCATATTTAAATCACTCTGGGAAGGAGATGAAATGATTAAAGTGAAGTGTACAACCAGTTATAGCTCTAACTGATGCTCTCCTCATGGATAAGGGGCTTGCCATCATCTATTGAGCCCAGCACGCTAGGAGTCTATAGGAAAAGAAGTCCCAGTCCCACAGGTTCTCGTTAGTTAACCACAAAGCTACCTGTCCCCACCAAAATGCTCCCTAGCCCTCTTTTCCACCCTACCTGCCTGACAGTGTGGCATACCAGACAGCCAAGCTGCCATTTGTCAAATATTTGTCAACAGAAAATTTGAGAATATTTTGGGGTTTCAGAGTTGGTAGAAATTACCCACCACAAAAAGTATCATTTTTCATAAACAAAAACAAAACTATCCAAATGCTTTTCAAAACCATCCTGAATTTAAAAAAATTACCTAAACCCCCAATTTATTTCTTGGTGGAAAAACTTGAAAATTTTGTCAAATGAAATGTTTCTGTGAAAATGTTCATTTTTGATCCAAATCCATTTTTCACTAACATTACTTGCCCAAGGAAAACATTACAGATAGCATTATTAATCCTCTCCCTGAGCACGACAGGAAGCTAATACTAGTTGGACAAGGGGGAGCCCAGGGTTCAAAACCTTGCTCCAGTGATTATCAGGGATTCAAACCTGGGTCTCCCAGCGCCATCTCTTCGTTCTTAATCATTTTGTGACTTTAGCACTGAATTATTACTATTGTTATTTTGGACCTAAAGTATTTGGCAAATTTGTGTCAAATTTACAAATAGTTTCTAGTTGTCCAAAAGAAGAATAACCTCTTGCTGCAAAAAACATTATCGGACTCTAATTTTAATTGGGGGAGGGAGAGGCAAAGGCCTATTTTTTGTTCTCTGACCAAAAGAAGAAGAACCCCTTGCTGCAAAAAACATTATTGGACTCTAATTTTAATTGGGGGAGGGGGAGGCAAAGGCCTATTTTTTGTTCTCTGGTAGTACAGCACTTAGCAGAGCAGAATTATGGCCAATGACAGGGGTTCCTAGGTGCTTCTGTAGTACAAATAATATCATGTGGCAGCTGCTCTCATTCTCAATCCTTTGCTTACATCCCTACAGTGCATAAAAGTAATAAAATACATGACAATCAAAAAATGGGGCAGTGGAGGCATTTTTCTCCCCTTTGGCACTTGCCTCACATAGCTTTCAGGTTTTAAAAAGAAGGAAACAGAAAAGGGGCTGAGTAAAGGAAAGGAACTTGCAGACAATGTGCTCGCCTTGAGAAAAATCTGATAATCTGATTTTCAATAGAAATATTCCAGGCCAAATCACAAATGTCTCTCCCATACAAAACTTTTTAAAAATAGTTTATTTTTAATCTTAGGCAGTACCATTGCTACTAAATAGCAGTACGCTGTTCTGGTGACATCTACTGGTCACCAACAGATAAGCTTATGGCAAAAAAGGGTGCATTTTTAGTAAGGCAGACAGCAATCCACTCATCTGGGGAAAGCATGGATTTCTGCCTTAAGTATCTACCCATCACTGCCACACATAATTGCAAGTGTTCATCTTAGCATGTTATGCATTTTACTCACTCATTTCACCTTCCATTTTTGAAAACACACTCCAATTTCTTTAGAAAATCCCAGATAAGTTATAGCACAGGATTGTTTCCTCCCCATCATCAAAAGACTTTCCTAAGCACACATTTTCAAGTTACAAGAATCAATATAAACAAAGTAGTCACCTGGCTGCTCTGACATACCTTTTTTCTTTCCAAAAGGACAGCAAGAACTTCTATACCAAAGCACAATGTCAATCTTGAAAAGCTTGAAGATCAATAAAGTAATACATGTTAAAAGCAGCAATGCAATGAGTCCTCCAGTCAGTGATCTCTGAAAATCTGTAACTGCAACCATAAAAGAGAAAAAAAGAAACTGCATAATTTGTCCAACACTGAACTTTTAAACAGTTGCAGTAAAATTCAAAAACTATGTTTTTTTTCTTGTATTTTTTTAATAAAAAGAAGCTATACATATGTATTACTATAGAGCAACTATAAAATTGTTGGTTGAGCTAAACAAGTAGAGCATCTAATACACAGGGAAGTAATTAACATTTTATGCTTTCATAACACTTGCTACTAGAGGATGGTATACATGCTTTTCACAAATGTGAATAAACTCTCATAGCACCCCTCTATATTAAAAAGGATTAGCCATAACTTATATATGAAGAAAACCTGGCACAAAGAAATTAATATACACATTTTCAAAAGTAACCCAACCCCTACATTTGACCCACCATGACTGATTGTTCTATGTACTACAGGCTGAGGATTTCTGACGGTTAGTGAGTAAAACAGTGAACAAGTTCAAAGACTCAGTTTCTAGTCCAAGCATTGTCACCAATTCAGTGTGTGACCACAAGCAAATCATTTAGTTTCATATTTCTGAGTGCCTCAATTTTTGAACATCCAACCAGAAGCACAGCAGTTTTTACCCTTGCTCATTCATTTGTATTCACTCATAATTTTCCCTTGTGTAGAAATCCCTACAAACTCTGCTTTTTAAAATTTCTCTTCACAGTGTGTACAAACATTTTATTAATCTAAATCTTCATATGCTTCCCTCCAATTTCTCCATACACACACCTACCTACACTACCTTCTCCTCTTATTCCTGCCCTCCCAGACCCATACACCTTAAAGTGAATAAAAAGGAAAAGCAGTTTGTCTGTCTAGATACTTATATGCCTATTATTATGGCATCTGAGCACAATATCCAGCTATTCCTGGGAAAGTCAAGTCAAATGTACCCCTTAATGCCTTACCTCTGTGTTGTAATACAATATATGCTGCAGCTTGGCCAAAGGAATTGAAAGCATGGCAGACAAAGTGACGTTCATAATCTTCACTATTCACTTCTGAAATGTTGAGCCTCACCGTAGCCAGAGGGTGTCCTTCATAGGAAGTTGTTCCTCTATCCAAAAGGTAGCAAATACAGTAATAAAAACTACTCAACCCTTACTGAAGTGGTTTCTTCACTAGCAATCACAACAGGACAATAGTCACTGATCTTCAACATTACTACCATGTATCAGATTTTTTTTTTTAAGAACTGACAGATGGCTGGAAACTATAAGTGGCCCTTATGACACTTTGTCTATCTCTGATCAGCAGGATGGAGACCAGGAGACATCCTTAGAATAAGCACAGCTGGTGCACTGTTTCCTCAAAGGTGTGTCATTTCTGTAGGCTACCATTTCAAATGCAGTGGACTTACAGGTGCATTTCAGCTTGAAAAAACATGAGCTTAACGAAAGGATCATGCTAGAGTTTTTAGAATCTTTTAATTTGTGGATGTAGCTATAGACACTATAAAGATGGCTAGGGGAGAATGCTCCCCAGCATAAATATACATAAGGCCTGCTACAGGCTGCCACACAAGGTCCCTCTTCCCACCACAAGCCCTGGTGTAGGAAATGCACTCATAGTGGGGCTGGAGCTAACACTAACACAATTCTGAGACTACCATCACTCTCAGTCAGTTTAGGCCTCGTGCACCCAGACTCCTCATCCATGCCACTTCCAGTCCTCGTGCAAGTGGTTCTCAAACTCCTTGCTCAGAAAGTCCCAGTCTTCATCCAGTCTCAGTGCTCCCCCCACACCTACTTGCTCCTCATTCCACCCAGTTCATCTCCCAGCTCCGAGCCCCAGTCTCCTTGCCCACTCCAAGTCCCTGGTTCCCTCTGCCCCTTCATGCCAGACTCTAGTCACAGTTTCTGCCTCCCAAATGTTCCTTTTCCCAATGTACACCCTCACATGTCTTGCTTTAGTCCCCCCTGCATTTGAATCAAGCAGCTTCCTCTCCCACTCTGCCTGGGCTCAATGAGGCAGGGGTGGGGGTTGAGTCATTGAAGCATAGGCATCCTCGTGTTCCCATTCTCAATGTAGATGTCCAGACCCAGAATGGGCAGCATCCCAGAGCTGCAGTTGCAGGGAAAGTCCAGCTGAGCCCTCAGTTGAAGCATGTTCCATGTGGGTTGAATCTTTGGGGACTTTGCCTATACAATCTGAGAAGTTTCCAAGGCTCATAACTACGCCAAATTTAAATAGCTCTTCCTGGGGATGGCAAAATGTACATCACTGACACAGAGACCATCTCCTCCCACATTTGAGGTCCCTGCCCCAAAGCATGTAGGCCCTAGAGTGTTTCAAATACAAGGTTGCCAGAATTCTGAGACCGAGTTAAAAAAATCATTTTGCTCCGTCAGCTCTCTCGAGAATGTCAAAAAAATTTTAACTCAGTTTGAGGCAGAACCCAGCATGTAAAATTTCGGCATAAATAAAATTTGGCAAAGAAATAAGTGATTAAAAACATGTTCTTCTAACCACAAGTGTTGGGAACCTTGGCAAAAGGTAGTGCTACTGGCCTCACCTACAACTAGAAGATCACAAAAGTGTGTTTATTTGTGGAACAGTACAATTACACCAACAAAATAGAGAAATCACACAAGATTTTAGCTGCTAATTCAATACATTCTGATCTGGAAGTATACTTACTCATAATCTTCCTCTTCAAAAACTCTATCCTTAAAATATTTATCAATGTACGTGTTGTTGACTGTCCAGTACACCTGAAACGTTTCAGTGCCTGTTACATTGCAGTCCACTATGACACGTGAGCCTATAAGACAGTATTACAAAGTGGCGATTTAAATTCTTAAACCGTAGTTAAAGGCCATACAATTAATTCCCTCTGCTAATATATATAAATCAGCTGTAAGCATGGAGTGGGCCAGGGATAGGCACAGCAGTAACAGCAGCTCCATACTCTACTCTCCCCGCTTTCCCATTCCATTTCACAGAAACCCCTCTGACCCACATATGCAAGTTCAGGGAGCTTCATGTTAGGGAGGGCCAAAAGGGTTGAATCCAGGAGAGAATAACCATTCTCTGTGGCATCAGTCACTCAAAATATTCACAGAAGTTTCCTCATAGGATCTGTTTCACATGTGAGGGCATTCCAGAGCACCCACTTCCAAAGAGCACAGGAGGAGCTGCACTGCAGTCAAGGAGAAGGCTAGGAAAAGCAATGTGGGCCCCATACAACTTTCTCTGCCTCTCAAAAATATCCTCTAGACATCTCCTAGGGTTTGGAAGATCAAACCTCTTGCCTGTTCCTATATGGTCTCTGAGCTGAATCCTGTACCTTACCTCCTGCCCAGACTCTGCACTCCCACTCCCAACCCACTTCCCGAACAACTCCCTCCCCCACACTGAACCCTTCATTTTGGCCCCACCCCAGAGCCTAGAATGGAGCCACAAAATCTACTAGTCCTGGCCCCCTAGAAGAGAGTTAATCTGCCCCTGACTTGGAGGATCCTTCCCAGCACAGGTAGACAGACATGCAGAAGCTCTGCTGGAGACATCCTGCTAAAAACAGTAGTGTGGCTAGCTAGCCACCCCAGTACATACGCAGGGGATCAAGCAGAATTAAACTCGAGCAGTGAGCTGTGGCCACAGTGCCATTTTTAGCACACTTGCTTGATTAAAGCTAGTGCATCTGTCTAGCCACGCTGGAAAGTACGATCAGATATACCCTTAGTTGTTTTTCACTGTATAAAGGGCACTTTTGCTGTAAAAGAGGATAGAACCAGGCAAACAGCACTAGGAAATTCTCGAGTCTAAATTCTGTTTAGGATCCACATTCATATTTTGCTATAAGAAAACTTGCTCACCAAGTTCTACTTCAATGGAATTGTTTCTTGGGTAAAATATTTCTGGTGGTGTGTTCGATGGACTCACTAAACAAACAAACAAACAAAAACCACGCACACAGGGGTTATTTCAGAAATTCATTGGCAGCTGCCGCACGTGGCAAATACTACACTGCCACAGTAATGACATTTCCATTGCATTCCTTAAACAAAGACGTGCAAACAGTGACTTCTGAATGGATAGTGATCAGTCGTAAATGCAATGGCCAACTCCCCGATTTATTTATGGTATTTTAGGTCCGGGGTGGGGGACCTTTTCTTCTATCAGAAGCCACTGAACCACAATAAAACTCAGTCATGGGTCACAAACAGCCCATGGAGGGGAAAGGGAGCTTCTTGTAATTTCTGGTGCTGTGCCAGAGCCGAAGGGTTCAGGGTGTGGAAGGGGCCCAGGGGTTTGGACTACAGAGGGGGTTCTGACCTATGGTAGGGGGTTAGAGTGTGGGTGCAAGTTCTGGCAAGGCGTTAGGGTGCAGAAGGAGGGTTAGACTTTGGGCAGGTGGTTTGGGGTAGAGGTACGTGCACTGACAGGGGCTCGAGGCTGGGCCCAGGAGTTCAAGTATAGGCGGGGGTAAGGAGAGTGGGCTCCTCCCGGGCACCACTTACCTCAGGCAGCTCCTAGTCAGTGATGCATTGGGGCTAAGTCAGGCCCTGGACCTGTGCCACTCCTGGAAGATGCCATGATATAGCCAAGCAGCTCTGTGTGGTGCACACTGCCTGTGCCCTTAGGAACTGCCCCTACAGCTCCCATAGGCGATGGTTGCTGGCCAATAGGAACTGCGGAGGCAGGTTCATGTGGACTCAGTTTCCCTGATCATCTGTCCCTGTACCTAGAGGCCACAGAGACAGCCGACCACCCGGGCACTTTCGCTTCCCCCTGCAGCAGGGGGAGCCGGTGATTGCAGTTCAAGTCCTGTGCGAGGGCGGCGGGGCAGGATGTCAAGTCTCCGGGCTTGCTGCAGGCCAGATGAAATTAAGCAGGGGACCGGATGCTTTAGGTTAAATTTACTCTTCTCATCTCTCTAAGCTCTGGGCCTGCTCTAACTTGGCACAAGGGGATCAAAACTGACCACAATGGCAGCAGGACTACCAGAATACAGAAGTGACGCGTAAGCTGCCATCTCGCTTTCTCACACACATACACAGTGTTGTTATTTAGCAGTAGCTGAGAATTTGGATAATATTTTCCAAATGTCATGATGTAAAAGAAAGCTGTATACCTGTCACAGTTAGACTAATGTCTCGCGAAATGTTATATTGTTTTCCATTGTAACTATATGATGTTCTGCACGTGTAGTTTCCTTTGTCATGTAGAGTTGCATTTTTAATCACAAGGTAATCACTGAAAGAGACAAACCTTTCCTCTTCAAGCAGCTTACAGTCCTAAACACAATGAGAATGCTCTGTTAAATCACAGATAGAATACAATATCATGTCCCTCCAGAGCTTGCCTGTATGCTACAGCTTAAGCTTTTCCTGGACTATAACGCTGGGATGGTCTCCCTGATTTGTCTTGGACAAAGAAACATTTTCCTAGACTCTGAGGTTGTGATTCAAACAAACTCCAGATCTGTCGACAGACAAGCTTACTTATACAATAATTCATTTTACAAGGGAGGAATTAAAGCCATGAGAGTCTAGAATTCCCAGAAATGTCCACTAATCTAGGGTACCGCAATGACTGGGCACCCCCTACCTGACATACCTTGTACTTGATATGTCAGAGTACGTAACTTCTTTTAAATGGAGCTTTGGATTGCACAGATATTAATCAAGCCTCACAACATTTCCTCAAGGAAGGTGGATAACTATTATCATTCAGACTTTACAGCTGGGGAAACTGAGAAAGGAAGAGAAAATAATTTTCCAAAATCAGAAAGACAGTAGCAAAAAAGGATTAGACGACAGGACTTTCTGACATCCTCCAGCAAGGAGTTCCACAGGTTGATTATGTGCTGAGTGAAGAAAAACTTCCTTTTGTTTGTTTTTAACTTGCTACCTATTCATTTCAGTTGGTGACCCCTAGTTCTTACATTGTGGGAATAAGTAAATAACTTTTTCATTCACTTTTTCCACACCATTTATGATTTTCCACACAAGTCATGTAACATATTGGGTGGTGGGCTATATATACAGAACCAGCCCCACTTCACAAGTTGTGCAGCCAAGCACACAGACCTAGCACATTCCATCTAGGAGACAATGTAGAAAAAGGAAAAGATTATAATATGCCATATTAGAGAGTTAGACTCTGTTCCCTAAATTTTCAGAATTGTGTAACTTCTCAATGGGATATGAATTCTTGCTCATGTATGGCACAGAACTCTAGTGTAGAAAGGAGTAGCAGGTAAGAATATGGCACCCACTGGCTATGTGGTTCAATGGTTCAAATTTGAGTTCAATTTCTAACCCATAATTCATAAATACAAGAAAGTGAGGGTCAATAATTAGTACATGCCTTTAGACAACAAAAACTAAAGGGTAACTGTCACCTTTGGAACTTTTTTCAGTTTATTGTGCAAAAGCTCTTCTCACGTGCAAATAATGCTGTTGTTTTTCCACTGCCATTTATAAATATCAGTGACTGATATTTAAAAACACTGATTATAGTTTACATATCAAGGGGTTATGACTGCAAAAAAAGTTCTATGTTTACCTTATACCACTGAATGGGCAAAGTATTCTCCTCGTCTCTGAAATATTCCAAATGAGGGCACACAACCTTAGCATTTGATGATGTTAGTATCTCCTCCCCAATGGTAAATTTTTCATTAAAGCATAAACCATAAATATTCTTGAAAACCGTTAACTTCATATATATTTTTCTGCAGCTTGTTAAATTCCTGCAATGGAACATAAAATAGCTGAATTAAACTATTATCCATGGGTATAGCCTCACACCCTCAGGATATGTAGCTTCTTCTGGAGGAGGAAAGGGAGGGCTTAGGAAGTCAAGAGTTTCTATAGCAGCAGTTCTCAAACTGTGGGTCAGGAACCCAAAATGGATCATGACCCTATTTAAATAGATCACCTGGGGTGGCATTAGATTTGCTGGAGCCCAGGAATGAGACCCAAGGCCAAGCCCCACCACATGGGGCCGAAGCCAAAGATTAAAGGCTTCAGCACTGGATAGTGGGGCTCAGGTTACAGGCCCCTGACCTGGGGCTGACATCCTTGGCCTTTGACCTCCTGCCCGGGGGGCAGTGATACTAGGCTTTTCCCTGCCCGGGGCAGTGGGGTTCGAGCCAGCTCAGACTTCCCCACCCCCTCCACACACACACATAGGGATCAGATAGTATTTTTTGTTGTCAGAAGGGGCTCGCAGTGCAATGAAGTTTGAGATCACCTGTTTTATAGTAAACTGACACTTTTATATCTAGCCCATCTTGAAAGGATAGAAATATTATGAATATGTCCTCTATTGGACATATTCCCTTCCCAGAAGCGCTTATGAAGAAATGTAAGTATATACTGAATATCACACGCTCCCCACAAAAAAGCAAAAACAAAGAACAATTTTTTTTTTTTAAACGCACAACTTTGCAGCTTACTTCTGTAGTAGTAGAACTTTTATTGTATGTCTTTACCTTATGACACATTCATAGGATCCTGAATCTTCTAAAGTTGCAGGTAGAAACCAAATTAAGTTATTTTGCTGGTGAATTCTGGAATGTTTATCTTTAGCCACAGATGTTTGGCTACCAGATTTGAACCATGTCACATTGTAGTCTATATTTTCAAGCTTCGGTGTTCTATGTACTGAACAGTTGACAGCAAGAGGCTGTCCTTCATGAACAAAATTTTGGTTCAGAAACACATCGTAGACTTTGCATTCCTCTAAAGGAAAACAAAATGAAAAACAAAAGAACTTAAATTTGGAAAAGAAAATTTATGTTGACAAAGTTACTAGAGTGTCAATGAATAGTTTATCAGCACCTTAAAGACCAACAAAACATGTAGATGGTATCATGAGCTTTCGTGGGCACAGCCCACTTCTTCAGATGTTTCATCCATAATTCAGTTACAGGAGAGAGAGAATTACTATTATTCATCTTCAGACAACCAGCAATGTGGTGGATGTAGCAAGGCAACTGAACTGGTATATTCTATTTTCTGTATGCTGCATCTTTAAATGCAGGCGAATCCTTACTGCAGGGCTGCCATTTTTGTTTTCCATCTTAGGTGCAGAATGTTAGTGAATCGTGTTTTTCTCTCAGATACACACTTCTTATTTGCTCTTCATTCTTTTCTTAACTTAGTTTCTTCATCTGAAATAAGTCTGTGACAGATCCCCCTCCTTATGCTTTATGAAATGAACTCATGGATACAAATATGCATAACTTATACACTGCTTGGGACAAATTGCCTCATGTAACCTATCAATCTTTATGTCATAATCTGCTGGATCTATTGATCTTATATCGGTGTATGCATCATTCTTGTGTGTAAAGTTAGATAGATGAAGTATGGAATGCTTCATGGTTTTAAAAGTGCAAATACAAGCCATCAAGATTGTTTCCCTCAAGATCTGGTCAGCCGTAAACAGCCTGTTTTGTCCTTTAAGTTTTACAGTGGTTGGTCCTAGGAAGTCATGTGACCTTCCCAACTGGTAGGGTCTGACCAACTGTGACTTTTCCATGTAAGGGTGGAATGTAGAAACAGAATTCCCGCCCAAATGTGGAATCCATAAAACAACGGGAAGCTAGCAGTTTCTTTATCTTTGGCTGGCATTATACTCCCAAGAAAGAGAGCCAGAGACCCCAGGAGAAGAGCTTTCCTGGTGTGCAGACTTAGCTGGAATAAGAACAATTTTAGGGTGAGTTCGTAATAAGTTTGTACCGAGGTTTTAGTGTTTGAATTAGCTAAATGTTTTGTTATTTTAAATTTGTAATCTATTTTGCTCTGCCTGTTTTCACTTACAGCCTCTTAAATCCTACTGCTTGTACTTAATAAAATCACTTTTATTTATTCTCAAGCCCAGTGGAAATAATTGTTACCTGGGGGGGCAATCAGTGTGTACATCCTCCTTTCATTGTTAAAGGGGGCTTACCTAAATAATTCATTTGGAGGTCTGATCCCATTTTGGGAGTGGTATCCCAGGAAGCTGGGCCCCAAACTGCATTTTGCTTGGACCTGAAGAGTTTCAGAGTCTGTTCTGCTCCCTGGGGAGCAGGGGTGGAGGGGGAGGCCATGCACTCAGCTCTGTGTCTTGACTGGAAGCAGACCAGGTGGGCATGTCCAGCAGAACAGGGTAGTGAGAAGCCTCAGAGAGCAAGAAGAAAAATGTCAGTGGCTTTGTCAGCACTCTGGAAAGCACCCACAAGGGGTCTTCTGTGACCGCACCCCATCACAAAGTCATCAAGAGAAAATAATGTATGTTCCATCCTTCTGTATGGAAAAGCATCTGCCTTATGATCAGCCTCTTCATTCTAATGGCCTGGCTGCAAGCCACAACATTTTCATACAGAAGTTAGGATATTCATTGAGCTAGCAAGCTACACAGCTTGCTAAGCCTTTGGCTTAAAGAGCAATTGAGGATCCTTTGAAATAGAAAGGCATTCTATGCTATTATGTAGCTTTACAGCAATTGATATTATTACTTCTGCTACATAATCAGATAACAATGAGCAATATGACACATTATTGTGCAAATAATATACTAATACAAATAAGCTATTTTTGTAATTGTAAAGGCACAGTCACAACGTCTTATATTTTTGCATATGTTATGAAATTTTCATACTCCATATCATCTATACTTTTTAAAAAACATCAATTATATTAAAAACATAGGGAAAACTGGATATTTCTCCCTCTTCAAACATCTAAATTCAAATCGCACCTATTACATTACCAGTGAAGAAGCATTTATCGTATTACAGTAATTTATTTGTGCTGGTAAACATAATAAGAACACAAGGTATTTACCAGGATACAGGGAGATCACCTCAATTCATATATTGGGGTGGCAAAACTGAAGGACACATACTGCATGCACCTCTGTTACAGTTAAAGTGTAGCTCACAGAACCCTTCACACCGCCTCAATTCTCCATTTACCATACTTGTCATATATTATTTCTAACTTTTCACTAAAGATGTGTCTAGACTACATGACTCCGTCAACAGAGCCATGTAAATTAGTTTATTCGACAGTCAAAGAAGTGGGGATTTAAATAATCCCTGCTTCATTAAAATAAACATGGCCGCCACGCTGTGCTGACGATCAGTTGATCCAACACAGTGCGGCAGTCTAGATACGGATCTGTCGGCTGGGGAAGCCTTTGCCGACCGATCCTGTAAACCTCAATTATTTAAATCCCCGCTTCTTTGACTATGCTGAGTAAGCTAATTTACATGGCTCCATCGACTATGTCCGAACTATCTAGTTCGTGCCGCGTGTAGCCACTAGTGGACATTTAAAAATGGTGGTGCCCGGCAACATGCAAATGAAGTCTGGGAAATTCAAATCCCGGGCTTCATTTGCAAGTTCGTATGACTACATTAACCACCCTAGTTCGAACTAGGGTGGTAGTGTAGACATACCCTAACATCCCTAGTCCAGGGCTTCCTATAGTCCAGATTTACTTTTCTGGGGTTCCGGAATTAGTGGATTTTATGCACCCCCTTAGACTCTGGGGTGGGGACAAAACAAAGGGTTCAGTGTGGGGGGCAGGGCTGCCAATGTGTCTGGCCAGAAGGGATGGTGCAGGAGGGAGCTTGGGGTAGGGTGTCTGGCCAGGGTAGAGGGTGCAAAGAGCAGTTTAGGGATAAGGTTTTTGGCCAGGAAGGAGGGTGTCTGACCAAGAGAGAGGGTACCAGAGGGGGCTTAGGGCAGGGTGTCTGGCCAGGAGGGAGAGTGCAGGAACAAGGGAGGGTGTCAGAGCAAGCAGGGGTCATAAGGTCTTTACGTGGGGAGTGGGGTGCAGTGGTCTGGGCATGAGGAGAGATGCTTACCTGGCTTTGCACCCTATTGCAGCAGGGTGGGAAGGGGGAGGGAGCTCACCCCCCCCCCTTCCCCCGGACACACACACGGGACCCTGGTGCAGCCACAAGGCTGCAGCACCAAGTCAAGCGTCCTACTAGCAGGACGCGGGGTGTGTGGGTGTGAAGAAACCCCGACCATCTCCGTCAGACCAGGCTTGCTGCCATTCCCCCAGTGGGATGGAGAGGGACGGGGGAGAGAGAGCAAGGCAACAATTGGAATGGAGAGCACCTGCCAGGCCTGAGCACGTTCCCAGGGGGTGATAGCGCACCAGCCGTGTTCTGCTCGGTCCCTGCTGGGGCTCAGGCAGCAGCTCAAAAGTTCTGAAGTCCAGGAGCGGCTCCTCAGCATCTTTAGTCTCGGCCCGCAGCTGCTTCTGACTCTACCCCAGCCCCTCTCCCCTCCTGGCAGTGGTGGCCGCTGTAACAAAGAACAAGCGACTGCCTGCGCGTGAGGAGGGGGAGGTTGTGATAGGGGCAATCCTGCGGGGGATGGGGGAAGGGGCTGCACGGTGGTGAGGCAGCAGGAGGATGGTAGGGAGAAAGCAGGCAGTGGTAGAGATGGTAGAGTGACCATGCAGGCACTGAGCATGAGCAAGTTCCTGTCCTGCCTGCAGGGCTGGCTTTAGGCTGATTTGACCGATTCCCCTGAATCGGGCCCCGCACCCTTGATAGGGGCAATCCTGCGGGGGATGGGGGAAGGGGCTGCACGGTGGTGAGGCAGCAGGAGGATGGTAGGGAGAAAGCAGGCAGTGGTAGAGATGGTAGAGTGACCATGCAGGCACTGAGCATGAGCAAGTTCCTGTCCTGCCTGCAGGGCTGGCTTTAGGCTGATTTGACCGATTCCCCTGAATCGGGCCCCGCACCCTAAAGCCAGAAGTGTGCTGGTGTTCCAGGTGCGCTACTGGAGAAGGCATTGGCCCCGAGGTTTGGAGGGAAGGTGGGACATGACTCTGTAGTTGGGAATTTAAAGGGCCTGTGATACTTTTTTTTGGGGGGGGGGGGTTTTTTTTTTGGGAAAGACAAAAATCAT